ATAACAAATTTATCATTCATTTTATAACCAATTTATTTTAATTTAAACTTACCGTAGAAGGATCGAAGTCTAAGCTACTAATTTTTTCAAAATCCAAAGCAGATGCTATATATTTCGCAGACACTTGTTTACCGCCCGTTGCTAGCTGCAAATACCTAGGCATTGAATTGGATAATAAACTATCCTTCAAAGATCATATTGAGACTATACGAAAAAAAAACAACCCGCTTCTGCGGAGTTGCATACCGGCTTCGTAATGTGATGACCATTTCACAAATGGTCATGTACTACAAAACTTATGTACAACCTTGTGTTCAATATGGAGATCTTGTTTATGGAGCAGTTTGCAAAAGTGCATTAGATGTTATTCATAAACTACAAAGACGATTTTTTCGTATAACTTTTCGCAAAAGTTATTGTGACTCGATAACGGAAATAAAGGCCAAAAGCAAAATTGCTACTGTATACGAGTTACATGTATATGAAATTCTAAAGAAAATAGTTAATGAAGAATTGTCTCAGAAATGTGAAACTATTTTTTATTCAACGAGGTCATCAGTAAAGGGTGCTCGTATTTTACCATCAATGAAAAGTAAGCCTAAATATAACTCTGTTTCCCATCGTGTTGCCAAATTAATCAATATATTAGCCAATTGGTCTGTAACTATACCTTCCTCCTTTGAAACCCATCATTCAAAAAATGCTTTCTGTCATTCAATCTTAGATTCATATATAATAGGAAATTGCCATTTGATTGATGAATTATATCGCTAGACTTGAACTAATCCATACTAACTTCCCTGAGTTTTCGGTTAGACCTGATAACCTCTCGTCGAAGGTACCAGGCAGTGGACTCTAGGAAGGGGAGTTAGAAAAAAGCGAACAATTGGATTACCAGCTCTTAAGAACTGGGCCCACTTGCTCGCTGATTAAATTAACTGTCATTATTTCGCATCCGCCCGCTGTCAGTTGTATACCCTTGTAAGTATAAGCTTGCATCATATCTCTGGTTTTCATGCTAAAGAATAAAGATCTTAAATTAAAAAAAAAAAGAGTGATTGCACTATTTAAGTCTTGTTTTTTTTCGCTTTAAATTTGCCTCTTAACCCTAAATTAATTATTAAACCTTTTGATCTGAAGTCATATGATGTGGTTCCTTTACGGGGCAACCTTCAACAAGCCTCTCGTTGGCTTCCTGGTTGTTCTATCATGAGTTATTTTTGAAATTTTGCATATTGTGTTATGATAATTTGATTACTCATGATGAATATTTAAATAAATAAAATAAATAAATAAATTGTCCAGCGACTATCGTTTCATTTTATGAAAGATAAGAGCAAATTAACAGCTTAGGGTCCTGACAAATTCGAAAACTGGACTGTAAAAATCCAAATATGTTTTTGCATTCATACTCAACTTGATTTGATCAATTTGAACAATTTTATCGTAACAAAATAAAGAATAATGTGATAGCTGTCCTTCCTTAAAGAAAAATTTGATTTTTTTTCTTCTGGAAATTAGCAATTTACTTTGCTCAAGACAAACCTAAAACTTTACCATCAAGCAGCTTCCATAATTTCATTGAGTTTTGAAAATCTGTTCAGATGCATTTGTCTTCAGTGTCCAAGGTATAAAAAAGCGAAAAACAGTTAAAACTGTGGGTGATTCACTTTTTTTGGCATTTATAAAGTTTGTTTCAGCACCAATCCATTTCTTTTTAATGTTTCTTGATACGAAAATCTACTAACCCTTTTGATCTGAAGTCATATGATGTGGTTCCTTTACGGGGCAACCTTCAACAAGCCTCTCGTTGGCTTCCTGGTTGTTCTATCATGAGTTATTTTTGAAATTTTGCATATTGTGTTATGATAATTTGATTACTCATGATGAATATTTAAATAAATAAAATAAATAAATAAATTGTCCAGCGACTATCGTTTCATTTTATGAAAGATAAGAGCAAATTAACAGCTTAGGGTCCTGACAAATTCGAAAACTGGACTGTAAAAATTCAAATATGTTTTTGCATTCATACTCAACTTGATTTGATCAATTTGAACAATTTTATCGTAACAAAATAAAGAATAATGTGATAGCTGTCCTTCCTTAAAGAAAAATTTGATTTTTTTTCTTCTGGAAATTAGCAATTTACTTTGCTCAAGACAAACCTAAAACTTTACCATCAAGCAGCTTCCATAATTTCATTGAGTTTTGAAAATCTGTTCAGATGCATTTGTCTTCAGTGTCCAAGGTATAAAAAAGCGAAAAACAGTTAAAACTGTGGGTGATTCACTTTTTTTGGCATTTATAAAGTTTGTTTCAGCACCAATCCATTTCTTTTTAATGTTTCTTGATAATTAACCCATGTATAAATAAAAAAACAAGTAAAAATATATTGAAAACTTGAAACCATTAATGTTTTGCGGAAATCTACTCATCCACCCACCCACCAAGTACATTAACCAGTTTTATTTCTTCAAATCGGCACTATGTTAGTCATGTTCGTTTCATATAGTTTCTCTTTATTCTTTTTTCTGGATATTTAGAAGAGTAATATCATCATCTATTCTCAGGGAATTGCAAAACAAATTTTCAACTGCCCTGAAACAATGAAAACTGAGCCAAAATGAAACAATTTGCGGATTCCGCAATTTTGCTAGTTTTTTGATAATCGTTGCTGTTTTGTATTCCACAAAAAAATACCTACAACTCTGTATTGTTCAGAAGCTTCCAGAAGCAGCCTATTTTGCAAAACTCGCTACAAAACTTGCGAAGTCCAGAACATGTTGGGGAATCCCCAAACGGATAAAAATGAATGTGAATAAAAAAACTTGAGCTATCGCGGAATTCTTAGATGTGATTGAAATCTGCAAATTATAAGCGGAAGCTATATTACGATTTATGAGATAAGAGCCGTCCAGAACAGGTAGAATTGGTAATCTTATTTGCTGATAATGCAAGATAATTAGGTAAAAACTTAGAGATCAAGTTCAGAACAATTTGGTTTGAGCATCTTATGTGCAGATAATGCAACATAATTATGCCTGCCAAAAATTGTACTTGGTACTTTTATCCAGCAAGCAAGATATGTAAAAACACAAGTTTCAGGATCAGATACAACTAGGGTAACCGCGGTATTAGTTTCAGATTTTTGGTTAAAAGCTATGACGTAGCTGCTGGATATCTATACTGAAATTCAAAATACCAGCTGAAGTGATTAATTTCTTCACAAAATATCAGGATATGGGATGAAGTGGTGATTTTATAATTAAATATAATAATCTCAACGCGAATCTTAAATTAAGACATTGCTTAATTGGTTCGCTTCTCGAAAAATGGTTCAAAAAACAGCTAGATGGGAAAAACTGGTGAATGCATCGAGGATAATAGTTAACCAAAAAATTGCTTTTTGTTCCTGGATTCACTGAAATTGACTAAGTTCTGGCTTGTAAGTTCGGCACATGCTAGATATTAGTTCTAGCTCTAGCTATTGTTTGTAAGCGCAGAAAATTATTGTAGTGATAAACGAAAATTTGGGATCTGCTTACAATTTGAGGAATCCTATACATTTTGCGGAACCCGCTTATAATTTTTTTTTTACAAAATTCGCTTATAATTTATGCTTCATGTGTTTGTACCCGGAGTCCTCAGAAATTTTATAAGTGGAATCCTTTTACACTAAAAAATATGTTGAAAGACTTGTCTATGGATCCCAGTGACCTACGGACATCAAATTGTGCACCTATCCAGTGCGCATTTTGGCGTCTTATTGAATTAAAACTGTTGTTTTCAAGATGGTAAAAACAATTTTGTAAAAAAGTTGAAATTTTAAAACAAAAAATAGATATGACGCAAAACGTTTACTTTCTGAAAAAAATTGTGAAATGATGGATCATGTTAACATGTTACTCGGAACCAAGTTAAGTTTCCAACTCGGAATCAAGCAAACAATTACCTCCTAAATGGCCTTGTGGGAAGATGTTAACTTGGAGCATTTACTAGTTTTGGTGTTTTGATTTGACTATTGATAAAAATTTGATATTGTTATTGAAAGAAAACAAGACTGTTCGTATCATGGCGATGACTTCCTGAATGTTCTGACTGCTCTCTAACGTCCATGAAGTATATTTCAATTTAGAGAATGATGAAATTTTCCCAGAAAAAAAAATTTTTGATTTAATTTTTTTAATTCAAAATCTTCCGCCATCTTTGTTTGGAAAATAGCAACATTTTAATAAGAAGAACTAGCACGCCTCTTGTTTGGTACGACTTCCTACCATGATTAATTCGCCGCTTACGCGTTAATAGAATAAATTATATCGCGCATTAAATATCCCAAATAAGCCAAACTGGAATTTTCAAATTCTCGTAATTCTGCGGAAAATGACGACACACAAAATATCTTTTAATTTGATCTAAGACATTTGTAGTTTTAAAATGATCCAATAAGTTTCCGTCAGAAACAGCCACTTAAAAAGTATAAAATTGTCTGGAGAATAAAGAACGAAACTATTTCGACACTTCTTTGAAAGTCGAAACAACAAAGTGTATGTACAATGGACACGTTGCAATTTAAACCTTGGGTCAGCGGATAAAAATTATCTTTTGCGGATATGAATAGCCGGATTTTCTATGGTTTTTAAGGCCTGGAATGTTTCATCTACAATTATATTTCAAAAAAAATTTGCTGGTCTCTTTTTATGAAACTTCTGACACCACTCTGTGTTTGCCTGTAAAAGCTTGATTTTCCTATTTTTTTGTATAAAATTTAGCTTCAAACATTATTACTTTCTAAACTCGCTTCGGGTAGCCATATTGGCTAAAAATTTGTTTATCAAAAATGTTAGTTTCATTATGTAGCCAAGACAAAAATATAAATATAAGTATGATCTCTTTAACAATCCCTTTTTTTATCTAGCAATTAATATCCCCTTTTCCCAGCAAACATTTAGGTTTAGCAAAAAGGAATTATTAAAAAATTGACGATCTCCCTCCCCCCTCTGCAAAAAGTGGGATAGTTAAAGAGAATCCATGAATAAATATGAATCTAATCTAAACAACGTCGAGGTCGTTTGACATAGTGACTACGCTGCTTTTCGGAACAGCTCTGTAACTTCCGCTGTTTTGGAGTCTGTTGCCATTTTCTGCATTATTCATCGTATTCTGATTTTTCTCCTCTTCGTTTTTCCTGTCTAAACACTCGACTGTGATGACAATAACTCCTAGTGATAGAACTACAACTCCACAGACTAGTAAAGCGATGGCAGTTTTCAGGTCTCTGACTATTATTCCGCAGCCGAGGTGTGATCTGGTCTCCATGTGGGTTGTAAGACACAATGGACCCCAAATGATCCCTACCAGGCCGACCAGAAGGATTCCTAGAAATGAACGGATTTACAAGACTCATTCAAAATATTCTTTCCAAGCTTGCTTTGGGGAAAAATATAGTGGTTACAGAGTTACCATTGTTAACTTGATTACAGAGTTACCATTTTAACAGGGAGTAAATATTTGTAACTTTTTTGTTTCAGTCTGTTTCTTTAAATAATTTCGAGCCTTTTGATTGAAAATTTTATGAGAATTTTTATGTTGTAAAATTAGAAAGAAAAGTGAGGTTCCTCTTCAAAATTATCCTTGATTGGCGCCGCTTAAGTCCCCGTACTGGCAAAAAATGGATTGAAATCCGTTTTATACAGATAATGTAGAGAAGACCGTAAAAAATTGATATGAGTCGATTTAAAATCGATTTAGTATAATAGAAAAATATAGCTTACAAATCAATTTCAATCAATTCTAAATCGATGTAAATCCTTTTTTGTCAACGTTTCTTTTTCTTACCGATTTGAGTAACAACAAAATCGATATAAATCAATTTTTGAGTACTTTTTTCCATACTCAACTTATACAGATTATATATAGATTATGTTCAGGTTTCGTAGACTATCAAGCAATGGCAAAATAGTGGAAACACAAAGTTAACAAATGCCGTTCAATTAATTTTTCGTTTTGATGTTCGGCCTGAATTTAAATTCTGAGGATATCTAATATCTAAAAGTTCTGCACAAAAAATGATTTTTTCTTACTTGATAGTTTAATTGTATGGTAATTGCCTAACAATATTGAGGGTTGAACGTCGATAAAAAAAATGACATTTGAAAAACTTTCTGCATATGTTTACTTATCATTACCGCGGGAACCCTTAGTTTTTGCAAAATCTGAAAAGAAATCCCTTAAGCACTAAAGTTTGCGGTACAAAACTTTCTTCGAGTGGCTCTTGCTCTTCTTGAGATTTTCTTGAGTACAACATTTTCCTCAAGCTCCGAAGCAAAAAAAAAGAGTTATTTAAATCAATCTGAGATTTTCATAATTTTAACTATCTTGCAAAATTCTATCGATTTAAATTAATGTTTTTTTGCAATTTTTTTTTCAATTTAGGAACCCATTTAATCCATTATCCACTGTACATTGATTCACGTATCTAAATGGGTTATCAAAAATTGTTTTCTAAACAGCATTTCATCTGTATGAAAATTTATTTCAATCGATTTCAATCTCAAATTTGTCAGCGCGAGTCGCCTTCAGAAAAATGCCGGGTCGACCAAAAATCCTAGTCTTTCAATTTTCATATTGGGAAAACAACTGCAAAGGATACACTTTCGATGCAAAAATAAATTTTGCATATAAAATTTCTTTAGGAAAATGTTTGCTGGAATACAAAATTGGTACAAAGTTCTTGACAAAACCTAAAAAATTTTAAGAGGGGCAATTTTGAAATCACTCTAAAAATTTTTTGATTCCACAATGAAAAAAATAACTCATATAATAAGTCATAATTTAGTCATATAATTTCCTCTTATGGAATTTGTACTTTTTGCCAAAGTTTCTTTTTCAAGACGATATACAGGTTTTTGTGCCAAAACCAGAAAAAAACTCTTTAAAGTACGATTGCGCCATTTTAGCAAAATGTAGAAAACTTGTATGACTAGCACTTTGATTACATAATTTATAGAATTGTACGACCAACACTTTAAGTCTATGGATGCTGGGATTCGGCTGACGGTAATATTCAGTATTGTTTCAGTAAAAAAACTGTTTTATGTTCTTCGCTGTACTGTTCCAGGATAAAAACAGTTGAACAAGAAAAAACTGATGGTTGTAGTACTGGATCAGTACTGCTACAGTACTTGTTTTGTTCGCTGTTTTTCCCTGTAACAGTACTGGAATTTGTTTTTAAAATTCTTAACTAATTTCAAAATTTTTGTTACGTGCCATTAAGGTCGAAAAATGGCTTTAAAGAACCAAAATTTTGCTACAAACCACGTTAATTTGCGTTTTTTAACAAATAAATAGTAATGGGCTACCGACTGGAAACGTTAGTTTTTGATTTCAAAACTGGCAAAAAAGGTATGATTTTAAAAAGTTTGTTCACCACGCAGAGTTGAAAATCAGCTTAATGCTGAATATCACCTAAATCGCGTTTTTTTTTTCTAAAAGAGATATGGTTTAGCGTTGGTAGTTAGGAGGATCGAGCACCTAAATTTGGTTGAAAACACGTTCATTTTTAAAATTATTAATGCACCTCGACCCCCACAGCTAAAAACCCGGAATTGTAGGGCGAGACAGCCTAAAATAAAAGTCTCAAGAGATTACAAAATGATGGTGAGGGAGCGTTTACCAACAACACTCAAAAAAATGCACCCTGAACTTACCACATACACCGATAACAGTGAAGACAACAGCCAAAAATCCAAAGAAGCTCTTCATAGTAGATGATAGAATATGATTAAGTATAGTACCCTTACACAAGGGAATTACACATAACAAATGGGCACCAATTTACATAGATCAGTCAAAAACTTTGATGTCGTTGAACTCAAAAAGAAATGTAAAATATCAGTGAAAAACCGGGCTGTAAATAACAATGTGGATATCAATTTGGTTGTGAGGACTATAACTCGGGCGTTTATGAAGCGCAGATATGTTTAAATGAACATACCAACTCTAAAAGCTCAACTTTTGAGGTAGACTTTGGTAAGGACGCTTGAGCACCAACTTTAAAAAGAGAAACAACCTTGTAGTTCGACGGAATTTACAACAATCAGGGTCAGAAATAAAGCGAAATGGGGAATAATCTGAAATGCGATGAAGTATATTAGTTCACAATTATGGCCGATAACTATTTAAAATGGAATAAAAATAAAGCAAATCGCTGGTGTTTATCTCTAACTCAATTCTCAAGAGGAGAAAGTATCAGGAAAAAGAAGCAGGTATTTTTTGAAGAAATTTTCAAGTGTGAACAAGAGAGACCTTTAGCAACTTAGTGGTAACTTGAATTATAAAAAGGTACAGTAAATCAAAAGAAAATAAGCCGACCATTATAAATCTTTAGATGCGGTGTTTCACTGTATTTCAAACAAAAACTAATCGAACACAAACAAGTACCAAGCAAGTATTCAAATTAATCATTTGAAAAAAAATTGTGCCTTTGACCAGGAGAAGTTACTGCTTCATCGCGATACTTCAAATTTGATGCAAAACAACAGTTGAGTTTTTTTTCTGACAGTAATTTTTATAATTTTGTGTGGGATGCCTAAGTCATATAGATATCGATTTAAAAACTATCAGTTTTTGACGGAACGTTTTTTTACCCTCTGAAAGATTTTGATATCCTGAGACCGAAATGGGAAATGGGTTTCACCTGTGATTTTTCTTTTTTAATATTACGAGGCTGCAAAAATCTCAATTTGTCTATTATGAGATAGTTAGCGCTGAGATATTTTGCTCTATTAGAGCGTAAGCGACAAAGTATTCCGTTATAGACATTATTTTTTATGAAATGAGGCACCTTTTTTGGCCTATTTACGGCAAGTTTTCCGAAAGAACTTAATAAAGGTTACAAACTTTTATATGAAAATTTGATAACATTGTTTTACATTTTCTTTTGAAAAATTCACCATTTTTAAATTGTTATTTTACAAACTTGTATAAAATAGATCTTCTCTCACTTCACAAAAATTTGAGACATTGAAGTGATTCTTTTTCTAAAAGTCTGCCGAACTCCAGTGATATAATTCATTGAGTTGGATTGTTTTTTGATCACGCCTGTTTTTCCTTGTTAATGAATGTCTTTAAAAAGAAAAAATATGTTTTTTCACAGTGCATAATGCATAAACAAAGCAGTCCAAGTATAAATATTCCGTCATTTAATTCCAGAAAGTGAACAAAAATATTTTTTATCAGCGAAAATTTATTGGAGCACATTTGTTGCTTTCTATTGAGTAAACAATCCTAAGTTTACCACAAAATGGACTAAGCTCAACTCAATCTGGTGCTAAAAAAACTACACTATGTCTAATAATGCGCAATTTTTTTATGTTTTTTTTTCAATAACCCTCTGAACCAATTTGTGAAAATAAATAAAGTTAAAAAAAAAACATTGCTAGTATAAATGATCTTTTCAAGCATGTAAATTTAGCGTAAGGGCTATGTTTAAATCACAGCTCACGCGTGATTATTGAGAGTATGCTGTCTAAAATAAGCTAAATTGGCATTTTTAGACCTCAAAATTTCACAAAAATGTAGTCGGAGGTAAGAAGAATTTTTTTGAAGATGATCTCAACTTTTTTAAGATGATATAGCAAACTTCAACCAAAACTGGCTATTTAATAAATAGAAACAAGACTAATCAGGGCAAAGTTCTGAATGTTCCGACTGCCTTTTAAGGTCTATGAAGGAGTAATAACATAAAAAAAATTAAATGGAATAAAAAATGATTTTTTTTTTAAATTTGAGATTATTGTTGAAAATTATCCCCCCACACGCCAGTTAAAAAACAAAAGTACAATAATCGCTTCTTGTAACAAATGAATGGCAAATAAGCTTCTTTCAACCAATTTGGAACGAGTTCTAAGACGGATTAAATCTCCGCTTACGCGTTAAGAGCGCGAAATATATCGCGCTTTATCTGTCCCAAATTGGCCAAAATGGCAATCTTTAAACCCCCATTCCTTAGGAAAAATGATCACAGGTGAAATATTTTTTTGAATTTAAGTTAACAGTACCTTTTAAGTGACATATAAAAATTTTGTCAAAAATAGCTAGGTAAGAAGTCGAAATTTGTCTGAAGAAAAAAAAACCCACCCCGAGCACAAATATTCCGTTACTTTCATTACGAAATTTGGAACGAAAAAATCTTCTGAAAGAAAAAACTAATCTCATTAAATAAATTTTGTCACTATCGTCACTGGTTTATTTGGAAATTTTATGCTTAATTTTATCGTGCTATTAACGCGTAAGTTGTGATTTTAATCCGTAAAGCGTGATTTAACCTGTCTTGGAAATCGTTTTGAAGTGAACTGAGGCATGGGTTTTGGTCTTGTTTATACTTCGCTTTAAGCGAAAAGTATCCCTTTGTACTTTCCGTGGCGTGTCGTGAGGATGTATTTAAAAAAAATTAAAAATTGAATTTCGTTTTTCATTTTTTCTTGACATTTTTATCATTTTTTTTAAAGCGAACACTATTCCGTTGAGCTTAAAAGACAGTTAAAACATTCAGGGCATTGACCTGATACACGTAGTCTTGTTCTTTTTTTTTGTAGTGGTGCCTTCATTAGCCGGACTAGGGTGGCAATGTGGCGAATTAATGTCTATACCTTAGAAAAAAACAGCATGTTAAGCGAGCGAAAGCAAGTTTTTTTCCATTGAAGTCAAAATCAAAATATTATCCAAATTATTCGAGATTATCGAAATTGTTTTAGAATTTTGTGGCTGAAAAATTATAAAAATGAGGTAGGAAATAGGTTCAATACTTTTTTGTGTAGACAACAATAATGATTTTCTATAAAACTTTTATCGGCATATATGACTACAAACTTTCTCGTTTGTTATCCATTATCTCTTGAGCTTCTGAATTATTGGTATTTTTCATCTTTTCTGAAGCTTTTTAAATAACTAACTTTGTCACAACGAAAACAAAAAATTGCCTATGAAATGTTTCGGAATGTTGTGTGTTTTGGAATGCTAATCTAAAAAGTGTTACAATTGAGTTTGTTCATACTTTAACCTTCAATTTTTGATGCCAAGATATCGTGCAAAATTGGCTGACCGGGAAAAAAACAAAGACATCTTTGTTGTCCTTAGGGAAGCATAAAAAGGGAATTAAACTGATTCCGTCCCAAAAAGTTTCCTCTGACAGCATGAAAAATAAAAAGGTCGTAAAAACGTTCAATCGATTTTGCTTCCTTGTATAAACCACTTTGTAAGGGTGAATGAAACAAAAATCACAGGTTGTTTTGCTTCGTGTTTCAAATGCAGCCTTAAAAATGCTGGAGGAATTAATTTATGTTAATTGCAACCTTGTAGGAAACTACAACTAAAATTTTAATGTAATCAGAGAAATTTTCCTAAAGGCGATACGGAAAACAAACCAAGAAGCAAAAATTCAGTAACTCGACCAAAAATGAATATCAGTTGAAAGTCTTTAGGCAATTTTTGGTCTAACTTCGGAGATATTTTGTCACGGTATAATTATAGGAGCTTCATCGCACATTGCAATCTCAATTCCTGGGAGTGAATGCAAAAAAAGAAAACGTGTGTTTGAAATAAAATCACTCGATGATAGTAGTAAATAATCAAAGCACAATCCTTAAAAAAGGTGGTTGGTTACGATTTAAAAAATGCATCAATGAAAATTCAGCTCGTATATTCCCCTTTTTACGATTGGGCTGTTTTCATTATTTTATACTACTAGAGAAATTATCAGCCTCAAAAACCGCCACTTCACGCTGTTGGGTTCTTTCGGTACAATTTTTGTTATAATGCTATCTATAATGACGATCAAAATTTTGTTGTTATTGGCCATTTTGAACAAATTCATAAAAGAGTGAAAAAAGGGTGAATGAATATTTTAATTTCCGCTATAGGTGGCGAATTATTAAAAGGAAGTAACAAAAGTTAGACAAAAAGGAAATGTAAGGCGGCTTAAACTATGAATGAAAGATGGTTGAAAATTGAAGAGTTATCAACAAAAACTCAGCAGGAAGGATGATGGAAAAATGAATATCTTAGCCAATTCCTTCAGTCCGCCTCAATTCGAGAACAGTTGCTGTGACATGTTGACATTCACTGTGTTTTGAAGTGTACTTTGAAAATTAAAGTGTTTTAATGGGAGTACTTTATTTTCAATTTCAAATAAAAATGTTGCATTGGAGTACTAAAACGTTAAGTGGAAAAGATTAACTGGTTCTGTTGGTAGATTTTTGTTTCCCTCAGTTCAAATTCAATTTACACTGCTAAATTAACGTTACCGAAAATGGCATTGGAATACAAACTGTGATACCCAATGTTTTCATATTCCAGCTTTTCCAGATACCGGAGATTCAGGAACAAATATAATCTTGATGTAGGATCGGTAATCCTAACACTTTTTGCCAAACTCAGAACTCGATTGAGAGTTTTTCCTTGAGAAATGCCTGCAGTGTAGTGAAGGTTAATAAGAAGCACGTAGCTTGGTATTCACTGAAAAATACGACGAGTAGAAGGTACACAAGCGGTCAAGTCCAAAATAAGTTAGAATCGTCTAAGTTAAAATGGTAGCCCCACACAAATTGAAGCTGACTTTATGGAACTCTTCGGACGAATACTAGAGATGATCAGACCCCTGGAGCAAATGATAACGGTTCCGGAAGTGCGAATTGCCCTATCACAGCTCAACATCTAGCGGTTAGAATGGGACCATGATTTAGTGCTATTGACCTAGTTAAGTTTAGAACCCCAGACTCCCTGGACCCTACTTCCAGTTTTATGCCCTAAATTCACAAACCCACCCCTTACTTCCGGAACTCGTTTCTCGGCCCCCAGTGAACGTGGGAGGGGAAGGATGATAGGCAGTGAAACTCTAAGGAATGATAGGTAGTGGCAAGATAAGTCATGTTGAGAGGAATTTCTAACGGTTGGAACGGTAGTTATTAGCACTTGGGAAAAACACCCCATACACCGAAATAGGCAATTTACGCAAAAAATTGAATGAGGGCATAATGATTTCATAGCGCCAATAGACACTGTTTGAGAACCCCGGAAAAAGACCCGTACCCGGCGAGAACGAAACTTTCAGGCGACTCCTTTGATGATTATAAATTTTTTCTCAGAAAAAGTGGTAATAGATACTGTCAAAGTGATATTATGGGGGTATTTTCGGGATATTATTGGGAATTTGGGATATTTGGTAGGTAGGACCCTCAATGGATTTTAAACGTAAGTATGAAAGCTTGACCACGGTTGAACCCGGGTTGACCTTTAACTTACCTTTGGCGTTTAAGACCAAAACTGCATGTAAGCTCACAACTGGCAAAATCCTCAGCCCCAGCCCCTGGAAATGGGAATCTATCCCCTTTCTTATAATTGGTAGGAAACCTATCTATTGGAAACTGAAGCAGAAGCAAAAAGCATATAGCTTTTACATTGTAACATTGAAAAAATTTGGACAATATTTATTTAAAATATATTACAAATAGAAGTTCTAGCAATGGTGAGTGCAACCGGTGCAAGTTTAAGAGCAGTACAAAGGGGGCAAGCGACTTAATACCGTACAGAAAAATTGCCACCAACTTAAACATTTTGTACATGGTAGTGAACCTGAGTTGCCCCTCTGAGTTTACTAAGCAAGATACCGTTTTGAGGGGACAATAAGAGAGAGAGAGAGAGAGAGAGAGAGAGATAGATAGATAGATAGAACGAACGAAGGAACTTCGGAAGCAATACCCTAAATCTTTACTTGAAAATGAACAATAGGAGCTTGATTAAACAACATTCATTGAGAACGACTTGAAATTTTCAGAAATAGTTTCCTTTAAAAAGCAAAACAATTTCAGAACCGTAGAATAAAAATGTTTACGAAATCCTTTGATTTGTGCTTGGCCTAATTTTTTTCCAAAATGAAAAAGTCTATCATTTGAACCAGTGGCCTGCGCAGAAATTTGTCTAGAGAGCGAGTGGTTTTTAAAAAATTGAAAATTTTTTCGACCTTTGCTTAAGTCGATCTGTTTGATTTTCCAAGCTCTCCGAAAATGCTAAAAAGATTCTTATAAGTCAAAAATTTTCTGCTCCGCAGGCAATACGTTGAAAAAAAACAGGCTAAAAATGACGTTTTGAGCAGTTTTTTAAAATATTTGAACAAAAATTTGAGTTTTTTCGACGCGCCCTTCTCCCTCAAATTTATTCCTATTGTCGCCTAAGGTGCCCTTAGAAGTTTTTTGATGATGTTCAGTCCAAAACGAACCTCGTAAAACTATACCAAATAAGGGACCCTTTGCAAAATTTTGGCAAACGGAATTGAAGAGGCGCGTACCACCGGTCCCCCCGTCCCAATCGGCACACTACTGAAATAAACCCATTTGAACTAATTCAAACAATGCAATCTGTTTGTGTTGACTTTTCAACAACCCATTGGAGTGAATTCAATAAAAAAATGGAATAGGCTGGAGTTTAAAATTTATACCCTGATACCATGAGAGCTCTGAGCTTGAGCAAATCATCGCTAAATACTAAAAGCGAATGCCAATGAACCATAAACTATAAACCTAAATGGACCAATTGTGCAGTTCTAAATAAGCAACAAATGAGACTGGAAAAACTTGAACTAATATGAGAAATCTTCTCATAGGCTAGTGACAGTTTACACCAAATTACTGCGCCCGGTAGCCATCAAAAAATGGTCCTGATCATTTCACACAGTTTCATCCAAAATATCTAAAAATTGTAGCATGCTGATTCAAATTAGCCGGACAAAACAAGCAACATTGCAAGCTTAAAACTTTTTTTTTTCATTTTGCGTCAATAGTAGACAAAAAATGAAGGGAACTAAAGTTGCTTAAAAATTCACCGGAAACTTTTTAGTGCAATCGTCTCAAACAAAATTTTACCCTAAAAATGGGTAATGTTTCATTTTGCTTTTATAGTGAAGCAAGAGTTACGCTAAAATTGCCAAAATAATTGATGGAAAAAAAATATGTCAAAAAATCCTCTTACCGAGACCAACAAACTTTTAAAAGATAAAATTCTCCAAAAAACTGCTCAAAACGTTTAAAATTTGTATTCAATCAAAGATTTTGAGTTCTACATTGTGAAAATGACTTTTTTTGGCTGTCAAACAAAAATAGATTATCTTCTATAGATTTATAAAACTTTACCCAACAAGAGTTTTGTTAGCTGTTTCAAACTTTTTTTTATCAATCAGTTGGGTAGTTTTAGCGTAATTTTTACTCAACTAAAAAAACCAATAGGATCCATTTTGGGTGTAAAACTTTGGTTCCGAGCTTGGCATAAATTGCACCATAAAAATCCTGGTAAAATTTTTACAAACTTTTGGTCTCTCCAATTTTGTCTAATCTCAACCAATTTGAAAAAAAAACTGCAGATTTTGTTCGTTTTTTCGGATGAACTAAATCAAAACTGTAAGCACAAAGACCATGTTTTTGTTCCGACTTTCGAAGAAAATGAGAAGTATAAATGATCGGGAAGTTTTTTTATTCAGAGCGATTATCAAAACCATTGTTCTCTCGAGGGGTTAAGCTCTGGATTTTCGAAGCCCCCGCCAAGATCGCATACCACTTAATAATCTGGCTCGAGCTAAACTGCTCGTTTTAAACTTTTTATGCTGAAACTGTTACAAGCATTTTTTAAAGCGTGGCAAAATATCCAGCACTACAAAATGTTACCAATTTAATTGCAACTTCCACGCCCGACTCAGATTGTGACACTTAAAGTTTGATATTATCAGCCCAAAATCTATAGTTTTGTCCAAATGCTTTTATCAAAAAAAAATGCAAGCATAGTTAATGAGCAGTCGAAACATTCAAGAGTTTTGCCATGACGGGAGTAGTTTTTTCCGTTCATAATTTGGCAATCAGAAAATGCGCACCCTTAATTCAAAAACTTAAGGGCAACTAAAATGTTTCAAACCAAATCGAGCCAAAAACAAAAAGCCGGTAAAATAAAAAAATGATAATTTTCCTTTATGAACGCTATCTGAACTCCTCGAGGGTTAATTATATCCTCACTTACTTTGTTGTTATTGAAACAAAAACAAACAAAACCTCAAGACTTTTGAAAAAGTGTTTTTTTTTTAATTTTTCAAAACCATTGCCTACATGCAGTGTAAAGAACAGAGTGAAATTTTTAGCATATAGCAAAGAAATATTTAGATCAACTAGTATGCCGCAGTTCAATTCGGAGCGTTTCATAGAAGGATAGCTTAAATCTCCGCCTACGCGTTTATAGCACAAAATCTATCGCGAACTAATTATGCCAAATTGGTCAAGTAGGCAATCATTGAACTCCCATAGCTTTACAAAAAACGATCAAAGACAGAATACCTATTCAAATTTGAGCTCGAGACAACAATACTTTCCTGCTGATTAAAACAACTACGTCAAAACAGCTAGTTGAAAAGTCAAAATTAGTCTGGAGAACATTAAAGCGCCTGAGCCCAGATATTCCTTCACTTTAATCAAATGTGTTTTTGAATGCTAAATTCACATAAAAAAATTGCACATAGAAAACTATTTGAATTCTTGTTGCGGTAAGGTATAATGCACTGCCAAGGTCGCTTTCACATTTTTGAAAACAAAATTGAAACTTATCTTTCATTTTTACATCTTGCATAATGCAAAACTGACGACCGCAAAATCAAGGATAATAAAAACGAGCAGCAGTAGCTAAGGAGACAAATAAAAAAAAGGCTTGAAGAAAACAATGCACAAAAAAATGCAAAAATGCTAAACTCATGCAATTTCGTAAGTGAAGAAGTATACATGACAAGTCTATGATTAGAAGTAATTTCTATATGAAAAGTTTATGAGTAGCCTTTTCTATAAAACAGAAATGTGTGTTTGTTTTTAGATTTTTTCTCAAAGTTTTTTGTGTCGGCAATAAACAGTTGTTCGGAAAACGGAAAATCAAAGCAATTTTTGTGTATTAAGGACTAAGTTATGCAGACAAAATAAAACAATTTTTGTACACAAAAAATGGAAAAATTCCAATTGAATACAATTTGCACTTAAAAGTTATCCAAAAATTTTCTGGGGCAGTGTCCATTTTCAT